GCCGGCCCCGCGGGTGGACCCCGCCAGGCTGCTCCGAGCAGCCCCCCGCTGCCCCCCGTCCTGCAGCGTCACCCAGAGCTCGTCCCGGCAGGTGGGTCCTTGTCCCACCCCCCAGGAGATGCTCCAGGGCCACGTCTGCGGGGCCAGCAGGTGGGAGTTACCTGGAGCCATCGAGCCCCAGCACCACCCGAGCCCCCGCTGCCCTGCCGGGATGTTTCAATCCCAGGCACGTTTTCACCTGGCCAGCTCTGCAGGGAAAAGCAAGAAGAGGTGACCTGGCGAGGCTCCTGAAGGCAGCACTAGGGCCTGGGACACCAGGAAAGGGGGGCCAGCTGCTGAGGGTGCAGCTGGGAATGTCCCTCAAGTCACAAACCTCAGCTACATCCACCTCCTGCTCTCCCAGGTCCCACCACGCTGTCCCAAGGGAAATGCTCTCCTGGGCTCTGTGTGCCCAGAGAGGCACCAAACTGCCTGACTTCACAGGCAGCAACATCTCCTGTCCCTTCCAGCCCCTTTGCTGTAGGAGCTGCCAGGAGGTCCCTTTCCCCTTCCTCTGCTCACGGGCTCATCCCCACACACATCTCTGCCCTCACTCCCAGTCACCCACATCAAAACGGCCTTTACTTCTGCTCCTCCCATCCAGCTGCCCCTGCTCTCCACACCAGAAGTTGCATTTCTCTCTGTCCCCCCTGCCCAGCAGGCTCTGCAGGGCTACAGAAGGGAGAGCATCACTTACCAGGGCTGCATGGGGAGCTGCTGCTCCCCCCCAGTGCTGCCAGGAAGCAACTCACAGGTTTGCAGCAGCTTTCCAGCCACCTCCCCCAGCTTCTCCCACCCCTCAGCCCAGCCTGCAGCAAGAGGAGACATACCCAGCCAAGCTGACATGGGCACTTGGGTGCTGTGGCCTCAGCAGAGGGACAGATGAGTTAAAATGGCCAGGAAAGGTAGGTCAGAAGAATATACAAAAATCTAGCAAAGAATTTTTCCATCTGTGATTGAGCACGAGCCCAACTCCAGGGAAGGAAAACTCCTCATTCCTCAGACATGGGCAAGTGCTCTGCAGCAACAGTAAGTTAGGGCAAGTGCTCCAGACCCTTCTATGAGTCCCTGAGAGAAGAGGAAGGACTACCTGAGCTCCTCTAGGTTCATCAAGATGCTACAGCAGGAAACAAACCAAACAGCAGGGAGCAGAGTCCATCCTCTGGGCCTTAAGACACTTGGGGTCACTCAGGGAAGCAGCTGCTAAAGCCAGGAACACAGAACTGAAAAAGGGCTGGAATGGTTTTTGGTCAGATGGTCAGGTGGTGAGAGGAAAAAAAGCTCTTGATCAGCCAAGTGGAAATTTGCATGTGGAAAATCTGCTTTGCCTGAACCTGTGGTGGTTAATTCTCAAGAAAAAGACACATCCCTGCAACCCAAGGCTAGAAAAATCAAATAAAGTTGGGGATTTGGGCATTTTTTGGGGAAAAAAATATAATAAAAGGAACAGAAGAAAAGAAACAAACTAGTTTCAGAGCATCTCTTGACTTTCCAGCTTCCCAGCAGAAGCTGCACTGGTCCCCAGCTGCCCCTGTGGGCTCTCACCCACTGCAGCACTGTCACCAGGCAGCGTCACCAAGGAGCCAACACAGCCCCACACACCCCTCTGAGTGACCCACAGCACTTGGAAAGAGCCCCCTCCGTGCAATCAGGCGCTGCCAAGTGCTCATTTTGCACCCCCAGAGGTGGGAGAGGCACCTGAGCAGCCCCCAGCACCCCCCTGCCCTTCCTGCAGCCCCCCAACCCATGCTGTGGGCAGCCCCCCGACTCAGCTCTCGTGCCAACACAGCCCTGGCAACCCCTGCTTGCACTCAGGACCCAGCAGAGCATCTAAAGAAGGGCAGACTGAAGGTTATGATATTTTTTTTTGTCTGGTTTTTTTTTTTTTGGTACTTTTTATTGGAACACAGTTTTGTCTGACAGAATGCAAAGTCAAAATCCTCAGTTAGTATCAGTATTTACACCAGTGAGAATGGGAATAAAGGTGGAATCGACGTTTCACTTGGTAAAAAGATTTTTTGTGTTTTTTGTTTTTTTAACAAGAGAGAAGGCCCCCAAAAGTAGGGAATGCTGGGTCAGGATGTCCATGGAGGGGCTGAGAACAACTATCAAAACAGCCTAGTGTGAAAACCTGGGGTTTGAAGGCTCCATAGAAAAGTGTGAAAATAAAACTCCACTCTAAAAGCTGAACGACTGGATGCACTAGTATCATCATCATCATCTTTACGTATGGTGCAGCATGAAATGGAATCACTCCACAACGAGAAGCTGGTCAGTCTGCACTGCCATATAGATATATATGTATGGCATGGATACATATATAAACATATACAGTGTGAATGGTGCCAGGTTGGTCCCTCTTCACAGGTTTCAATCAAAGCAGTGAAGCCCAAGATGTCTGGGACAATGAAACCAAATGATGAAGGGTGAGTATAAAACCACTCTCCAGAATTCACCTTGGGAGGTGACACGAGGGCATTAACAAAGGAGCTGGATGGACACTGCCAGTGTTCAGGCAACCCCTTGGTTCACTTCTGCCTTGGAATGGTGCTCAGCCCATGGATCTCAACACAAACCCACTGCAGGCAGCAGGGCACCTCCCAGGGATGCTCAGGCTTTGAGCTGCTTCCCTCTTCTGACAGATGCCAAACCAGGGCACAGGTACCACAGTTTTCCACCACCAGGTGCTGACCAGTGTCACTGGACACGTCTCTGGTCACGAGCACTGTGCAGTGTTTGCTTCCCACCAGCTCAGTGGGTTGTAACTTAGGGGGTGTTAACACACAGATGGCAAAAGCAGTCAATAAGGTTGCAGAGGTGAGGAACAAATGCCTGTGGTCACACACAGGAGGTGTCCCCTGCCTGCCCACCAGTCCCTGCTTCCCCAGATCCTCTCTCCATCAGAAACAGACATGGTAGCTTTTTGTGCTGCTTTTTATGGGTGGATTCCTTAGAGACAAAACATTCCTAGGGACCATGGGCCAAATTTCCCCCTAGTTCCACCAACAGTGTGGAGCTGGGCTGAAGTTGACAGCAGGCTCTGAAGTGAGGGCCCACCCTGCCCTGCCACCCTGCCCTGCCACCCTGCCCTGCCACCCTGCTCAGGATGGGTCCTGCACATCCCACCCCTCCCTTCGCATTTCCAGGAGTGAAGGACAAAAAAAACCCCAAAACACAACCCAACGAAACAAACAACAAACAGACAAACAACCCAAACAAACAAACAATGCGAAGAACCCCCACACTTAGCAAATGACAAGACTGTACATTTGTTTTCCACAGTCTGACACGATGTGAACACTGGGAACAACTGCACACTCAGAGGAACACACCAACCCAAGGGGCTCAATCCACCTGAGCCCAACTGCAGCCCACCTACCCCACCCCTCTGCCCATCCCCTCAGCACATGGAATAGATGCCACAGGCAGCTCCCTGTCATCTCTCCTCTCAAGGCTCCTGCTCCTTGCCAAGAGTTGTTCTCTCTTTGTTTTGTTTCTTTTTCTTCCTTTTCCTGAATATTTCTTGGTTTTTGCTGTTTGCTTTTGTTTGCTTTTGTTTTCAAATCTGAACTATCGCTACACCTTCCACATCCAAACTATGTTGAAGCTTTTATTATTTCAATACTATGACAAAAAACACGTTTCACACTAAAATAGTCACGCACCCACAGTGCACAAGCTTGCAGATCTAAAGTAGAATTAAAACAAAAAAACCCAACAAAACAAACCAACAAAAAAAAAGAAAACAAAAAACCAAAACCAAACAAAAATAAACCAAAACCCCAACAGAAGGAACATCTCTATACAATGGGCTGGTCTTAGCCTATATTCCTCTGCCCTCCTTCTGCTCAAGCCTCCCCTGAAATCTCCAGTGTTATTCCATGACTCCCAAAGATAAACTGCCCTCCAGGATGGGAACACAAGCCCTGCCTCAGCCCCTTTCCCAGCTGCTCCAGACAGTGCCAGGGCAAGTGAAACCAGTGGGAGCCTTGGCCTCAATTTCCAAGCTCTTGATTTCACAGTTTGGATTCTGCAGGGCGCACGGGGGTGACTCAACACACAGGATGTGATAAAGCAGAGTATGTCGACTGGAAGGGACCTACAACAACCATCTAGTCCAACTGCCAAGGGAGCCAACTCTGCAGGAGAGGCCCCACATGCTGCCAACACCCTTGTGCAAAAGTCTTGGCTTCCCAATCAGCTTTCTAGGCCAAAGGAAATGGTCTTTACTGACACACCAAGGAGCAACGGATGTCATTGAGCATCTGAGATGAGACCAGACCAGCCCTAACTGTACAATCTCCCTTCTGCTTCTCAAAGCTCTGGGAGGTGCCATAAAGGAAAGGGGAGAATGTCCTAAAAAAGCAGAGATGATATTTCTCTTATGCAGTCAGGCCCAGGTCCAGCAAGGGACTTAAAACTCTGAGTAAATTAAAGGAGTGTCACCAGCAAGGCTCTCCCAGTTCAGCCTGTTTTCTGTGGGTTGCTGGATACAGACCCTGATTGGTGACAAGTGTTTTGAATAAACCCCCCACCCACCCACC